GCACCAAGTAACGTCATCCAACTCCCAATCTTGAAAGGATCGTCGGAACCGCACATCCTAAGATAACCTACCGTTATCAAGACGATAGCAGTCAGCAACCAAAGCATGTCTATCATCACTGAACAACCTTGGGAACAAACAAGACAATGGGCGATCCTTGCACCAGGCATCCTCCTGAAACCGGACTCCCCTTCCTTCCCGAACTTTGAATCTAATATGTTTAGAGAACTCATCCCACCCCTTCCCAATGGATTTCCACACCCCCACGCCGACAGTAGAGCTGACCGGCCTAGCTGACCACCCCCCTCTCTCCTCCCCAAAACGACATGAAATGACTTTCCTCCATAACTTATGTCTTTCACTGTTGAATCTCCATAACCACTTGCCTAGATGTGCCCTGTTGAAAGGGGCGAATCGCCTGATCCCAAGGCCTCCCAACTAAAAAAGCCTGCAAACTTGCTTCCATCGGATAAGATGATACTTAAACTCCTCTCCCCGACCGCCCCATAGGAAATTCCGTTGAAGCATCTCAAGTTCCAACAATAGGGGCGGGGATCTGGAAAAACGAAAGAAAATAAGTTGGAAGCCTGGATAAAGTACTCTTCACTAAAGTAACTTTTCTGCCCTTCGAAAGATATTGCTTTTTCCACCCAGCCAACCTTCTCTTGAACCGCTCAATCACTAGTCCTAACTACCCACCCTCCTGGCCAAGTCACCCAACGGCAAACCTAAGTATGAAATAGGAAAAGAACTCGTCCCACACCCTAAGGCAGCAGCAAGAGAATCCACCTCCTCAACCTCTCCCACAGGGACAAGCACGCTCTTTCCCACATTGACTTTCAGACCTGAAATAGCCTGAAAACAAACCAGGACACATTTCAAATATCTTAATTGGGACACCTCTGCCTTACAGAAAACCAGAGTGTAATCCGCGAAAAGTAGGTGAGATATCTCCATCTGCTGAACTGAATCAGGACCAATCTTGAAGCCCCTGATGAAACCCAAATCCATAGCCCTTCTTATCAACCTACTAAGAGCCTCCATAACAATGATGAACAGGAAAGGGGAGAGAGGGTCCCCTTGCCTCAGACCACGAGAACTACCAAAGAACCCGGAAGGAGATCCATTCACCAACACCGAAAACCTGACCGAGGAAACACTTGTTTTAATCCATCTCCTCCATTTCTCCTCGAAGCCCACCCTCTCCATAGGCTTTCTCAATATCCAGCTTACACAGAACTCCAGGAACACTACTACTAAGCCTAAAGTCCACACATTCACTGGCAATGAGAGCGAAATCCTGGATCTGTCTACCCCCTATGAATTCATTTTGAGACTCAGAGATGACTCCGTCCAAAACCTCCCTCAATCTTAACACAAGGTCTTTAGCAATAAGTTTATACATACACCCAATTAGACTTATTGGTTTAAAGTCCTTAACGTCAGAAGCACCGCCCTTCTTAGGAATAAGAGTAATAAAAGAATTCAGCGGCTTTTCGAACCTCCCATTAGAATGGAACTCATGAAAGTGCCCATAACCTCTTGTCTAACCACCTCCCAGCTCTCCAACAGAAATCTCATAGTAAAGCCATCCGGACCTGGAGCCTTATCACCATTACAACTCTTCAAAGCCTTTAGAACCTCCTCCTCCGTAAAAGGGCTTTCTAACCCATCCCTATCCACAGTTGATATGGAATCAAAGTGAAGACCATGCCAACGAAGAGGCTTAGAGTAAAGCCTTTGGTAGAAAGAAACGATCCCCCTACGCACCTCCTCCTCCTCCGTATTCAACACCATTCCATCCACACACATCCGCCCAATATGGCTGTCCCTCCTATGAGCATTAGCAGTTCTATGAAAAAAAACATTGTATTACGGTCTCCCTCTTTGAGCCACAAGGCCCAAGATTTCTGATGCCACGAGATTTCCTCTAAAACTGCAATCTCAACACATTCTGCCTGACAAGCTGCTCTCCTATGACGTTGAGACTCATCAAGAACACCCACCCTTATCAAGCTCAGCAATGTCAACAAGGGCTCTATTCTTCCTCCACTCCATATTACCGAACACCTCCTTATTCCTTCTTTTGAGTTTGCTTTTCAGGAGGCGAAGCTTTCCTGCTAAAACAAAACTCGACGTTCCCACCACCATATCCTCCTCCCACCAAGAATGCACAGTCCCCTGGAAATTCACCACTCTAAGCTACATGTTCTTAAATCTGAAAGGAGTACAACGAGAACTCAATCCTCCACAGTCCAAAACCAAAGGAATGTGGTCCGACGTCACCCTAGCCAAAACAACCTGAATAGCATCCGGAAACTTCTCCTCCCATTCTCCAGAAATCAAGAATCTATCCAGGCGGGAAAGAGTAGGCACTTCCCTTCAACTGGACCGAGTGAAAGAAGCTCCCTCTAAAGGAAGATCAATAAGCTGATGTCCATCAATAAAATCCGAAAAGTGCATCATAGCTTGAGTCCAAGGACCACCTGTCGATCTCTCCAACGGGGATCTAACCACATTGAAATCTCCGGCCATGCACCAAGGAAGAGACCACCTCCCCTTCACTACACCAAGCTCCTCCCACATCGCATCCCTCTCACAGTCATCCACTGGCCCATAGACACCAGAGAAGGCCCAAGAGAAGCCATCCTCCTTTATCGCAAAAGAACAAGACAAAGAGAAGCATCCCCTACAAACATCCACCTTAGCCATCCATCTCCTATCCCACATAAGAAGAATACCACCAGAGGTCCCTAGAGAATCCAGGGCCTCCCACTCAACAAACCGATTTCCCTAAAGGCTCTTAACCACTCTATCAGTCATACTCGAGAATTTATGCTCAGGTCTTGCCTTGTTGGGAGATTTGATGGGGACTTTGGAGAAGATTGAAGAGTGGGCTACAAAGACTTGGAGGATCTCGTGTGGGGTCAGGGTTTCTGCTCTGGCTGATGGTCTTTTACTGTTTTGATTCCCGTCGATTATGGAGGCACAGAAGGTTCTAGATAGGGGAAAGAAATCATGGGGAGATGCACAGCTGCTCATCGATCTTTGGTGCTGAAATGGCTGATTTGCACCTTGTGATGATTTTAGCTTTTGCTTTTTGTATGGATAAAATTTAGCAAGATATTGTGGAGAAATTGCTCATCCCTGATCTGTTTAATTCTCTCTATGAAGGTTTCTGAGCCTCCTCAGTTGGAAGCACAATTTTAATGCATTGAAAGGGATTCTCATGTTTGACTGCTATGTTAATCAACTCTGAAATCACGAAGTATAAGACAGTGAAAGCATCACCCGGTAGAATTATTATATGAAGAATATGACTATTTGTCAAACAAGCAAGAGTCCACAATATGTGAGTGCCAAACCAATATCTAAGACAAGCAAGAGAAATTGTTTTATGGCTGTCCATATGTGAACAAAAAATGGACTTCTATCTTTGTTTGCTGATAGAGTTAAAGCCAAATTAAGAACAAAACAGATGTCAGTCTTCTTCCCAGTGGGAAACATACTTGTAAAGGCATAATCCACACACACTCATCTTCGTCATTACTGTCTTTGGTGGTGGTGGTGACGAATTTGAGTTTGTGAATTTGAATTGGGGAAAAATTAGGGTTAGATGGGCTTTCCATGGGCTGAGTGGGAGTGTGCTTGAAGTCGCGATGGCTTCCAATCTCATCAACCTCTTCATTCATGATCGGGCTGTTGGAGGCTTGGATAGCAGAAGAAAAAGAGGAGGTGGTTATAAGAGAGAAATGAAGAGGTGGTGGTGGTGGTGGTGGTGATGTTGGGAGGAGATGTTGGGTTTAGGAAGATGTGGATAAGAGAGAAGGCAGAGAGTTGCTGAACGGTACTAAGGGCATACTGGTCTTTACACTCAATATTGGTGGTCCATTTTTCTATGTTAAATGTGAGGGCAAAATAGTAAAATCAAAATTCCCGTTTACGCTGTGCAATGACAAGGTTTTGTAGAAGTCACTGTAAATTTTGAGTACACAAGGAAGGACTCTAATTTCGCTTAATTAGTGGGAGTACTCGTACCTGTTACATATAGAGTTTATATATATATATATATATACTTGTACCAGTGTGACCGTGTCTTAGATACTTCATTCACCTTTTTCGTGAAAGTCATGTGGACCAAACATGACCACCGGTCACAATTTTAAATTTTTTTTTTTTTCATCAAGGATAATGTACTTCAAAATATTTACATATAAAAAGAAACTAATTCTGCTATATATTTCATAACTATTGTAGGACTCCCAACATAATAGGAGCCTCTATGTAAAGGCATCCTAGAATAAACTCTAAAGTACTAATATGATGTAGCCTTGGTGTTTAGAAAGTTACCTACATGCTTTATACTTGCTCATGGATTACTTGAAATGTACGACATTCAATTATTGTAAAATAGTGGTTTAGTTGCTTTATCGTTGACTAATGAGTGACGGTAACCATTATCTTGGGTTGTGAATGTGATAGCTGGTCATTATGTTTGATTGTTAGCAAGGAATTTTTACCGTCTCTATTTCAGAGAATAAAATACTTGAAAAGCTAAATTAATAAGCTTATCAGAGCTGTTCCTTGTCCATCATTATCATTTCTACTTTTAAGTAAATGCTTGGCATCATTAGAAGATGCCTTCATGATGTGCTTCAACTGTTTGAACAACTTAACTCATTTATTTATTTTTCTTTCACAACAAATTTCATTTGTAACTTGATATATTACCTTATTTAGGGAACACATGCAAGTTTCATGAAGTAGTTTATGTTTTTTATTTATTTTATTATTTATTTTAATTTTTATCATTCAATGAAACTTAAATTTCATGTTTGGTTGAAATCAAGTCATAAAATAACATTTTCGTCATCTTTTTTAAAAACATTGTTGAATCAAAATATTGTATGAGAAAAGTTGATACATCAAAAAGCCAAAGGTCAAAGTATTTCATGATGGATCTCTTGCTTTTCCCCTCATTTTTACTTGATTTCTTGCAGTTACTTGCTACGGAGTCCATATATGGAACCAATGTCTTTATTCTCAACAGACAGAGAGGACTACGATCTTTTCAGGTTTAGTAACCATTGAACAAACTCCCTATCTTGTGTAAGGATGTCATTAGTCTTAGCATCTACAATGTCGTTTTGCAGATTCATATAAATATTGAAGATCCACAGGAACTTACTATCTCTGCAAAACTAAATTCATCTAGTGATCTTGAGACCAAAAGTGATGGTTCAGCTGAGTTCTCATACTCTTTCAAAGTCCAGTACCTTCCTCCAATTGTGCTGACATGTTTATTACCTAAATCATACCCGAGTCATATCCCTCCTCATTTTACAATTTCTGTTCAGTGGCTGAATCATGTTAAGATTTCCAGTCTTTGCTCCATGTTGGATTTGATTTGGATGGAGCAAACAGGGCAGGAAGTTATATACCAATGGGTGGAATGGCTACACAGTTCTTCTCTTTCTTATCTCGGTTTCAATAAAGAATTAATTCTTGGTCCATATGGGGTGATGAGATATAGTGGAGATCGGCGTGCAGTTTCAGGAAGCATATCCCCAGATGTTGACATTCCTTCGATGAAGAGTTACAATGATGAGCAGCTCCTTGCAAACTTCAGCAAGAATTTGCATGAATGTTGCATATGTTTTATTGAGTATGCAGGTATTTTTCAACCTTTTCCTGACAGAATTTATTCTATAGAAGATGCTGGTAATTGTGCCGAAAGGAAAACTGTTGATGAACTTCTTAAATTTGCCAAGCTTTTCTTATATTGCCAATCTCCATTTTTGGATAATGCGGTCTTTTCAAATGTTATACGTAAAGGGCAAACCACTCTTGACATCACTACCTCAAGAGGTCGGTTATAATGTCAGAAACTTTAGTAGCCATTACTTTTTACCAAAGAAGTATGTAGATCATATGAAGCAAGTTTTGGAAATAGTTTCGCAAGGTTTAGTATGATCCAAATCCTACAAGTGGTATCAAAACAGTTTTACAATTATATTTTCAGTACATGCTTCTTTGATTAACAGGGAAAATCTTGGATAGAGCCAAAGGTCATGTGTTCAAATTGGCATAATTCTAGTGCAACACATTTATTTTATAGCAACAAGATTATGACTGTTCTATGAACTAATGCCTTTTGTTTATTTCACGATGTTTATATAGTGTTTCAAACATGATAGCCTTCTCACAATCAGTAGACCCTATTTTACTCGAAATCTCTCTCTTGCTATAACTTCTATCTGTTTTCTAATTATCATTTTTTCCCTTACCAGGGACAGAATTCCTTAGATTGCCATGCCAACATTTCTTCTGTTGGAAATGCATGAAAACTTACTCTGATATGCATGTAAGGGAGGGGACAATAAGCAAGCTTCTGTGTCCTGATACAAAATGTGGGGGTATTGTTCCACCTGGTTTATTGAAACAATTGCTTGGTGATGAGGAATTTGAACGTTGGGAGTTGTTAATGTTACAGAAAACACTTGAGTCAATGTCTGATGTAGCCTATTGCCCGAGATGTGAAACAGCCTGCATAGAAGATGAAGAGCAACATGCACAATGCTCAAAGTGCTACTTTAGCTTTTGTACGCTTTGCAGGGAGCGACGCCATGTAGGAATTGCATGTATGACACCAGAACTGAAGCTTCGTATCTTGCAGGTAAAATTTGTACTCTCGCGGCACTTCTTCCATTACTTTATTGTGGTTTTTGGTTGCCTTTAGGTGGAGGGGCGTGCTTGTTATTTAACCAATAGCAGGATAGTGTTGTCATTTTACTATGATAATATGATAGCGGTTCAGTCTATTTTGAACCACATTTTTGTTTGAGTCATTTGAGATTTCAGATTATTCTTACTTCATGCTGTTTCCCAACCTCTTCTTAGTGTTTTAATAACCTTCTCCCTGTAAAATAGCCATTTCTCAGTGTTGATTATATCTGTTCAGGGTGGTGGGAGTGTAATCTGGGTATAGACTTAATTTTTGGCTGGCTTTGCACAAAACGATTGTCTTCAAATATGATTCTACTTTCTCATGCTTGACAGCCTAAATTTTTACCATTGAACCATTCAAAGACCTTGTATTCTTCTTCCTAATTAAACAAAAATTTCCTGATTTCCCGTCAAATTAAATTTTTTGAATTTTCTGCAGGAACGACAGAATTCATCTCAATTGGAGGATAAACAAAAGCATCGTGAGCGCGAAATGATCAACGAGATTCTTAGCGTCAAGGAAATACTTCGTGATGCTAAGCTATGTCCATCTTGTAAGATGGCTATCTCACGAATCGAAGGTTGCAACAAGATGGCATGCCAAAATTGTGGGCAGTACTTCTGCTACCGCTGTAACAAGGCGATTGATGGATATGATCACTTCAGGTTTGTTGTCAATTCTCACATGTTGATAAAAAATTCTTTTGATTGTGTGATTTCACATTTATTATTTAGCTAATTAATTTGTTCTGATCAAAGGGGTGGGGACTGTGAGCTTTTCCCACAGGAAATGATTCAGCATTGGGAAGCGGGAATTAATGCCCGGCAGGTGCTAGGTCAGATTCAGGCTGAACTTTTTGTTGATCGTGGTCATTCATGCCCTAATTGTGGTCAAGTTAATGTAAAGGTGAGTAAAGTTCCAGTTGATTAATAGGAATTCTGTGGTAATTCTTTTTTTCCTATTTGAAACATACACACACTTAGTCACTTGCCCCTGAGGGGACTTGAACTCTTGGCCTTCTAGTTTGGAAGGTGAGGAAGCACCACTAGGCTACAACCCTTAGTGGTAATTTAGTTATACTAGAATTCTATGGTAATATAGTTGTACTAGAAGGTTATACAAGAATTTACTCCTGGAGTATTGGGTGTTTAGCATGAGTATAATATGTTTGTTTTTTCTCCGATAAGGTAATTGTGTTTTATTGATAGAAATAGAGAACTGAACATCAGGTTAGAACCCTACACAGAGCCCAAAAGCAGCAAAAATTCTGCCTGGGCTGCACTATACAAGAAGATAACAAGAAAACCACCCAACCAAATCAGTGGGTCAACAAGACATTCAGTAAAAAACCCGAGAGGATGGAAACTGATCCAACAGAGCTAGCCAACACAAGGAGAGGACCTTCAATCAGCATCCTAGCGAAGGATAGGAACATGCAAAAGGAAAAAAAATTGAACAGCAAAAGTCTTGCAGGAATCACCAGATTCTCTTACTGTGAACACAAACCTGCTAGTCACTTTGACCAGAGTTTCTGGATGTAATACAAGGAGGGAGGTTCCACTCGGCAGCTAAATTCCTTGCTGCCAATGAATCTTTGAGCTTTAGGCTACAGAGTCTGCATCTGATGTAATCTCTAATCTTCCCTACAAGATTTTGAGCTGAACAACTCTCTCCTTCAAAAGCTCTGGCATATCTGTCTCTCCATAAGCAGTAGACGGTGCAAGCAAAGGTGATTTTGTTGACAGTAGCAAGGGATTCCCAGCAGCACCCTAGTGGTAGGCAATCCAATCAATGAGAGAGTTCTAATTAGGAGGGTTAATGTATGTTCTACAAACGTATTAGCAAAAGCTCCAAATCTGAACATGGAAACTCAAAAACAAGGTTTGTTGATAGATTCAGCTGCAGAATTGCAAAGAAATTAGTGGTTGAGAAAATGCATAAAGGCCATAGAGGGTTTATCTAAGGTCTGAAGCTTGTTCCAAATAGGTAGCCATAAGATGAAGTTATGCCTAGGAACTGAGTGTGTGAACCACACAAGCTTAGATCAGGGAATAGTAGGAGCTGGAGGGGAGAAATGGATATATCAATAGCGAAAAGAAAATTTTATGGTTTGGGGAGGGAATCCACAACACTTTCTTATCTGAAATAGGATCAAAGCTGGGGAGTAGGGCATGGTTAGTGTGATATTGTGGCCCAAATTTTGTTTCAGCAACGTGACCTGGAAAATGCCCCCCTCCCCCCGGGAAACTTTTTTTGTCCGTTCTTTCTCTTGTGGGTCTTGGACCCTGTTTAGGACTCCTATTTTTCAATATATAAGGGCGTTTAGGGTTTGGAGTGGGACACAAGAGAACACTGAAAACTGCTGGAAAGAAAGTGAGAGAGAGAGATAGGGTTTGGGGCCTGAAACTTATAATCTCTTGATTTTCACATAGTGAAATCTTTCACCGGATCTTCACCGTGGACGTAGGCTTATTCCGAACCACATAAATCTTTATGTGCTTTGCGGTGGCGTGTTTACTGTCTTGCTTGATTCTTGATTTGTTCTTGGTTCATGGCGTTTGTCATAACTATTAGCAAATTCTGGCACTGGATTAGTTAACCACTGGGGGATATGCCACCAATTGTGCCTAATCAAAATGCCAACTTTGGCATACAGGTCAAGGCCAAAGCTAGAAATGTCTTCTCTTGAAACTTTGAGCATCAAGGGACCCAATTGATGGCAGTTGTCAAACCAGAGAGAGGTATTAGTACCATTTCCAATAACATGCTTCAAAAGAGGCCTTGCCATGTCCTAAGGCTGAGAAGTTTCCTCTGCGCCTAAGAATTGAGATCCTGAGGCTTTAAATCCCCAAAACTTTTCCTTATAATTAGGTAGAGTCTAGTCCAATTACACTAGGTAATAACATCTTTAGAGTTGTAGATATGCCATATATGCTTGATGTTAGCAACTTTGTTTCTGAGTTCCAAATCTGGAAGGCCCAAACGTCCCTGCCATCTAGGCCTGCAAACAACATCCCATGAAATTTTGGCTCCTTCGCCTTTTTAGTTTGGGCATCTCACATTGCCTTGGGGGGAGAAGTTCTATGTGTGGATGCCTCCTAACTGTTTGCACAAGTCCTGAAAATCGCGAGTACGGAGTACGTGCAAAGCAATCAGTATCTACCTAGCATGGGTTGGGTCTTGACAAATGGTATCAGATCCAATCCCCAGCCGGAAATTAGGAAGCATGCACAAGCTCATGAGGGTCAGGCTAGCGAGGATGCTGGGTCCCAAGAGGGGGTGATTGTGACGTTCCACATTGTTTGGGAGGGAGAAGTTCTTGCCACTTGTATGCGTAGATGTCTCCTAACTGTATAGACGCGTTTTGAAAACTGTGAACATGGAGTTTGTGCAGCGAGAATAGTGTGATGTCCCACATCGCCTGAAGGGAGAAGTTCCTGACAGTTATATGCGGGGATGTCTCCTACACATAGTAGACGGATTTTGAAAACTATGAGGCTTGTGTGGCACAAAGCGGACAATATCTACATAGTGTTTGGCGGGTCTGATAGATGGTATTAGATCCAATCTTGAGCCGAAAATGGGGGAGCATGTACAAGTCCATGAGGGTAGGGCTACAGAGGACGCTGGGTCCCAAAAGGGGGTGATTGTGATGTCTCACATCACCTGGGGGAAAACAACACTTATATGGGAAGAAGGAAGGAAGGAAGGAAGAGGGAGGGGGGGGGAGGGGGGGGGGGGGGGGGGACTTTCGTAGTACGACTTGTATTAGTTTCTTGGAATTGGGTATTTTCAGGTCTTCATGTCAAAAAGGGTATAATTCAGCTACTTTGGGCCAATGATAGTGTTTCTAAAGTTAAGAGAAGATGCTGGTGTGTTCAGGATTGATTCTAAGTTCAAAAGGGCCAAAAGATAGATTTCTGCAGTCTAGGATAGATCTTAGACCACCTAAGATCGATCTTAATGCCACAAAAGTTGAAGAATTAAGATCGATCTTAGAAGAATTAAGATCGATCTTACCATTGCTAGGATCACTCTTAGTCTACTCCAAAGATCTTAGTCTACTCCAGGAGTAATGCAAAAATCATCCAGGTTCTGTCCAGAAAAAATCGATCTCAAGCCTCCTAGGATCGATCTCAAGAAAGCTTACCTAGGATTGATCCTACGCGTGACACAGACAAATCTTGATAGTTGCGGGAATTTTCAAGTCTTCTCTCTACTTACCATATATGGGCCGGATCCTAATGAAAGCTGGAAGGACGTGTCTAAGGCCCAATTGAAGCTGATTTAGGGTGGATTTACTCTGAATTGAAGGGGGATACACAGAGAGACACGAGGAATAACATAGAAGAGAGATTGGCGGCTAAGGGCTTCTCTCTATTGTTCATCATTGAAGAAGGCGATTTCCTTCAGAATTTGCAGTCCATGGAGATGGCATTCAACACAACGATGATCCTATCTACCTTCTCCATGAGTAGCTAAATCTATCCTTAGGGACATGATGTAACCCTATCCAAGTAACATGGCTTAATTGTATTCGATTTAGGGGAATTTTCTGTTATATGTATTGATTGCATAGTTTTCTCTCTACTTACCATATATGGGCCGGATCCTAATGAAAGTTGGAAGGATGTGTCTAAGCCCAATTGAAGTTGATTGAGGGTGGATTTACTCTGAATTGAAGGGGGTTACGCAGAGAGAGACAAGAGGAATAACGTAGAAGAGAGATTGGCGGCTAAGGGGCTTCTCTCTATTGTTCATCATTGAAGAAGGCGATTTCCTCCAGAATTTGCAGTCCTTGGAGATGGCATTCAACACAACGATGATCCTATCTACCTTCTTCATGAGTAGCTAAATCTATCATGGGGACTTGATGTAACCCTATCCAAGTAACATGGCTTAATTGTATTCGATTTAGGGGAATTTTTTGTTATATGTATTGATTGCATGGTTTTGAGCAATTGACTTAGTTGTAATACGCAATTGGGATTTAATGTTTAAAACTAGTTTTAATAACATCATACTCTTGTCTTAGAATTGGTTTTGTTTCAATTCAAATCAAATTGCTTTTATTTTCTGTGATTGTAAAAGTGATGATTATGCAATGGTTCGTAACGGTTATATAAGCAAGTGCTTTGATAGTTCATGCTTAGGCAAGACAAGTTTTACTACACCTTAGTTAGAGTCATAGTTGTTAAAGGCGCCGGAGGCGCAAGGCGCCTCCAGGCGCCACCATGTCGCCTCCAATGGCTTAAGGCGCTGGGGTTGAATAGGGCGGCCGCCTTTGTATAACAGGCGCAAGGCCACAGGCGCACAGAAGGCGCGCCTCTTGAAAAAGGGAATTTTTTATAGTTGTTTTGTTATTTTTTCAGTTTTGTATTCTTTATTATTTGTTTATTAATTGTTTATTATTACTTTTTATTTGTTTATTACACATCTTACGAGTTACAAAACGAAAAAATAAAAAGAAAACCAAAAGCAAAAGTGGAAAGAGACAGATCTGCCGGCAGCGAAGACGATATCTGCGAAGCTCTCGAATCTGCCGGCTCTCTCAGTCTCGGTCCTCTCAGATCTGCCGGTCGGTTCTCCTTCTCTCTCTCCTTTCCTCCTCTCCTCCTTCTCTCTCTTCTTCTTCTCTCTTCTCTTCTCACCGAATCTCTGTCAGATTTTTTTTTTTTTTCTCTCTTCTTTTCTTCTTCTTCTTCTTCTTCTTTTCTTCTTCTCTCTTCTCCTCCTCCTTCTCTCTCTTCTTCTTCTCTCTTCTCTTCTCTCGTCAGAATGTCAGATTTTTTTTTTTCCTCTCTTCTTCTTCTTTTCTTCTTCTTCTCCTCCTCCTCTCTCTTCTTCTTCTCTCTTCTCTCCTCAGAATGTCGGATTTTTTTTTTCTTCTTCTTCTTCTTCTTCTT